TATGGGTAGAATAGCAGGGCAGACTGGGTCTGTCTTGGTCAAAAAGGTCAAAAAAAAGTCTACCGCAGAACGACAAAACAGCTGGAAATTCTTCCTACTTAGTTTAAAATCTGGCGCAGCACATTCTTCTAAGTCTTTGAATTGTTAGTTTTATTCTCATTTTTTCCCCTCTTTTAAAATTTCGACATTCTTGATCTCCCCCCCGCCATTTTTCTGTTTCCAATTTTCTTTCTCTTTATATTCAGTCAGTCATATGCCATGCGTGATACACGCTTAGGCTATCATGTATCTTTCGATACATGACTGACGAGGTTGCCATTTCTTTCTACGGTAGACCATTGGTCATCCAAGGATATAGAACCGGTTTTCTCCTGCTATTTACCCATGGGGGAAGAAGAAGAGGATTCATACTTTTCCCAAGGGTATTAGTACGTAAGTGAATGTAATGGATTCGACTGGAATTCGAACCCGGCTCTCCGGTTCCGTTATATGTCATACGTGATACACGCTTAGGCGATCATATATCTTTCGATATATTGACGAGGCAGATTTTTCCAGCAGTAGTTTGCCATTTTTTTCTGCGGTAGATCAGTGGCCATCCAAGGCTATAGAGTCCGATCTGTCCTGCTTTTTACTCATAGGGGAATAAAAAGAATATTCATACCTTTCCCAAGTGTATTAGTACGTAAGTGAATGTAATGGATTCGACTGGAATTCGAACTCGGCTCTCCGATTCCTCAATCTGAGCCGCTATCCATTACTTTCTTTATATTACCATTCGTTTTAGCCCTCTCTTCTTGTTTCCTTTCGAAAACCAATTTCTTGTGCAGGATAAACGCCATTAATCCATCGGCTACTCGTCACAATATTTGGAGGGATGCAACGGTTGGGCGATCAACGATGCATTGATCAGACAATCACCTCCCACCAGTTCTCTCCCCTTTCAATTTCCCTCCTTTCCCCCCCTCTTATTGCTCTCCCTCTCCCTCTAAATTCCCCACACCACTTTAGTTCCTTTAAACCTCATAATATTTAGCTCTCTCAATTCGAATCATTAATTCAGATCATTTGCGAATGATCATGCCGATGATAGAACGTTATATGGGTGCAACTCCAGTCAGCAGAGACTGGCAACTGATCTCTCATCCAAACAGCTCGGTGTTGAGGAAAAGTGACTGATTAAATTCAATGCTTGTATTAATTACATTATTCGGACTGTTATGCCCGTCTTTATTGCCATATTCTCAACGTATCGGCCGTTAATTTCGGATCGAAGCCATTATTTCGTCCACCAGGGTAGATTGTTCTAGTTCCACGTGCCATGCCTCTTCAGGATGTCTCAGTTATTTCCCTTTAACTCAACTCTCCAAGTTTTGGTTCACCACTGCTGTGGCCTGGTATTGAACTCACAACTCTTTGGGTTTAGTCACTGGATCTTAATCAACGTTTTTATTCACTGGGGCATAGAACACAGAGGATAAAGGCGTCGACCCTGAACTACCACCAGTCACGATAAACGGAAGTGCCCTTGTGGAAGCCCAGTGCCTTGAGCGACTCAGTCAGACGTATGCCTTGCGTGATACACGCGTAGGCGATCATTTATCTTTCGATGCATTGACGAGGCAGATTTTTCCCACAGTTTCTTTCTGCCATCCAAGACTATAGAATCCAATCTGTCCTGCTACCTACCCATAGCAGAAGAAGAAAATCATTCATACCTTTCCCAAGTTTATTAGGAGGAGGAGAAGAGGATTTATACCTTCCTAAGATTATTAGGAGGAAAAGAGGATTCATACCTTTCCCAAGGGTATTAACGCGTAAGTGAATGTAAGTGACTGGAATTCGAACTCGACACTTTGATTGATGAATCGGAGTGCCGAGTACTGCTGGAAAAATCTACCTCGTCAATATATCGAAAAATACATGATCGCCTAAGCATGTATCACGTATGACATATAACTGAATCGGAGATCCGAGTTCGAATTCCAATCGAATCTTTGAAACAAAAATTTTAAATGAACATTTCCTTCATGAATTGGCTTGTAATATCCAAGGAAAGTTTTATAAATAGATGCCAACTTGTTGAAGTCCAAGTAAAATGCAAATTTTTAAACATTTTACTGCAATATATAAGATGATATTCCTAAACAGAACTATTTTTGATATGAAAATCAAAACAAACCTCGAATAAAAGAACAGTAATGAAGGATAGTCAATTAATAAAATAAAAGTTTGTAAAATCAATATGCAAATTAGTTAAACTTGAAAACTGATAGTGCCTAGAAGTAGATAATATATAATAGATATTGAGTATACTGCATAAAAATTACTATAGAATTAGGCTTTTTTCATCTCAGAATTCGTGGGAAAACTGAGCTCCAATTTCGCATTTTTTCGTATAGATTCCATATTATAGGTTTTGTTTAATTAGCTTTTATGTTTCTCTAACTCTGTGAATGTATAACTAATTCTAATTTCTATTTTCCCATCTTTTCACTAT